GTTGTTGCTCCATTTTGGTCTAGGAAAGGTTAAGGCCAGGCATTAGAACCAGAGATAATTTTCTCTTGCGCTCATACCGATATAGTTGCTGTTCCCTAGTAAAATGAGTGATCCCATACTGTTCCCAGTCCACAGATGCAGAAATTAAAGAGTTATACTTCAAAATAAGGATAGGAACAGAACCAAGCAAAGCAGCTGACCGTTTTGAATGAGGGGGGGGAAGAATGAGGAAAAGGGGACAAAGTTCACAGATGAGAGAAACTGTGACTAAGAAAGAGGGGAAAACTTACTGAGTATGAGGGCAATGAACTGAAGGAGGCTTGAAATCCAGAGGGAAGGTTGGACACTGATGAAGAGCTGGAGGGATGAAGGGAAGGAGAAAGGACTTAGGAAGAGAAAGGGCTATGAAAAGGAGAGACGTTTGTTCTTTAACGAAGAGACATAGTGGGATTAGACACAAGCAGACTGACACTGGCTTATTCACTGGTACTGCTGATCAAGGGGCTGGGACTGGGTCATCCCACACCTGTCCTCTTCACAGCTCTACCATTGTAGCTTTTGTTGCCAAATCTCCAGCTACTCTCCTGATTTCTAAGCAGCCTAAGCACTCAGAGATGTGTAAAGAGCTAATCTGTAGCCACAGGCTATATAAACAGGGCAGACAAAGGTTGCAAGTGGAAACAGAAAAGTATCATTACTTTTCTGTGGTTCCACAGCAGGTTAGCATCAAAATCAGGACTAGAATTCAGATTCCTCTCTCCAAGCCCAGTGCCCAGTTCCCTAACCGATGCTATCTTGGTCCGCTTTCATGCAGTGTACAATACAGACTTTTTGACAGAGAGGCCTCACTCCAAGAAAACACTGACACACATAGGGAAACAAATTCCTCTGCCTGCATTCTGAATTGACTGGACACAAGAGAAAACGCTGGTCTACATCCCATATAGCCACAGTTATTGGTAGCTCTATTCCTGAGCTAATAAATTACGCTTAGAAAAAGAAAGTGTTAGTTTGAGTAGAACATCACCCTAATGTGGCTATAAGAACTGAGCTGTTTTGCATCTGGCCAGCCTGGAGAACTAGCAGAGCAATTCATAGATTCCTATCCATAAAGATATATGTCTCGGAAAGCACAGTGCCTCCTGCAACTCCGTATCTGCATTGCAATGAGGATTTCTGAAGCCCAGGGTCCAGTACATCTGTCATATTCGCCACATTCTTCATTTCTCTCACAGCAAACCATGCAAAGCATGGCTAATTGGGCATTTCCTACACAGCTATAGCAACTGAATGAATTCTTATTTCATGCTATTAGAACGAAAAGCTCTACAGGAGTTAGCTCAGCTTTGACAAATGGTTACCAGTCTTTTTGAATTATTAAGCCTTTGTCAGTTTTCAACAGCATGAGTACAGTTGCAGATTTGAACAGTGCCTTTGTTTACCGCATACTTAAAAAAGAGCATAAAAATTAAAAACAAACTAATGAACGCAGCTCATGGGTTCATTGGTAAGGAACCCAACCCACAAATTTTTTAGATATAAAAAATTGTATCTAGCTACAATTTGGTTTCTGTTTCTTCTAGAAAACACTTAATTTCCCTACTTTGTTCTCAGCTTCCCAACAAGTACTGCAATTAAGAAGAACAAATAATAAAGTAGCAATCGATAGCAGTTGCTGCAAAGAAATTCTTAGAACTGAGAGCCCAGATGAAAAATCCGGTGTTTCCATTTGGATATATGCAGGATATGTGGATATATACGCTGTTAAATGAACTAGCTGTAGGTTGCTCAAATGGGACTGCAAGGAAGAGTAACTGGCAGAAAGCATACACTTTGCTAGAACACCTTCCAAATTCTGGATGCTTGCAAGGTTCTGCTGACATCAGCAACATTAACTTCCATTTCTCAGGCAATATATCACAATTCTTCTTTCTCAAAAGCTTCAAATCAAGAAAGGAAATAGCAGCTATCTCTCTGTGTTAATAGATGCAGACGTTCACAAGTCTGTATTCACCCAAAGGTTCAGTGAAAGACTCTAGATCTGCCTCTGCACAAACACATCTGCTAGCATTTATCTTTCATACATATTTGCAGTCAAGCCTACCTACATTTTTTTTAAAACAGCAGAGAATCTCTACAAAGAGAACTTTGGCTCTGATCATGCTCTAGAGACTACCTGACATAAAATACTGCTTCTCTCTCCAACATTTTCTAGTACATCTTTCAACTGTTCTCTGCTGTCTCACACTGTTCATCATAAAAGGAGAGCAAATTTCCCAAGGCAGTTACAAATAAAGAGATTTTAAAAAGAATGGGAAGCTTTTGCTAGCCAACACGTAAAATTAGAGTTGTGTTTTTGCAGTACGTTTGATGACATAAAAGGTCAGAAATCAGTTATACATATGGTGAGCACTGTTATTGTGCTGTAAAATAATAATAGGAAAAAACCCTTCATTGACTGTGACGATTAATTCTATCATTAACTCTAAGGTCAATAGAAGTTAAGATCAGAATCCAGACAAAACATTTCCACTCTGCATGCCTATTTATGCTAAGTAAAACTTACTTAACCAAGAGGTTCCATTGGTTATAATGAGTGTACTGAAATTACAAAGGGTTGTAGAACAATGAACCTAGTGGAAATAAATAACAAGCAAACAGAAAATGAGCCTTATGACCATCTTGCAATGACATTTAAGACACAGGAAACCCCTGGCTGCACAAGAAGAAAAAAAGATACTTGTCACAGAAAAGTTCTAAGGCACTTTAGACTGCTTGGGATTGTTTTCATCGCGGTTTCATATGCTGTTAAGTTGTTCTGTATGAAAATGTTTTAATATTTTCATAGCTTCTTCATAGATCCTAAATTTCAAAATTGTAAGAATTAGCATTCTTCACCAACCTCCTTCCATTGGTTCTCCAAGTCATGGCATGTTTGCGAAGTGCATAACAATTTGCTTCACTTCCAGCTTGTTTTTCTCTGACCTGCATTTCCTCAACCACCCTCCAACTTTCTTCATCTAGTACAAAAAGTCCTGAGGTCTCTTTTCTTACTGGATGAGGCTCAGTAGCCTAATGTTTGAAATATATAGATAAAAATTACTCCCTAATTATGATGATGCGCACAATGACTGCGCATGGCAAAGTTCCCCTCCCCAGTTCAGTATCAGGATGCATTTCCGACTCTTGGTCAGCTCCACCTCTACTCTGGCATAGAGTCTTAATGCATTTTTGCATTCTGGCCCAGTGCTCCTGTTCGGTGCCAATGGGAACCATCCATCTGCTTCAGCTTCTTGAAAAGAGTATTGTGTAGAAGAGCCCTGGGTTTAAACATGATGTTTTCCTGTCCTCTGGAGTACTAAGTATCTTTCAATTGATAACAAGAGCAAAGACAGAAAGGGATAAACGCTTAATCTAAAGAAAGAAGTGCAATATAAGAACAGCAGAACCACAGTTCAGCATAGTGGGCTAGAGGGCAGAATTATGATAACGAGAAAGAGATCACAGAGGATAAGAGATGAGGAAACCTATTTATTGGGTTAGTTTCCTGCAGGTATATAGTTCCCACAAAGTGTAAGGTATTAAATTGCCATTACCCTTCATTTTAATCCAAAGACCCACGAGAATTAGCAAGGTAAAAGAAGCTAACTGAGGTACAACCTACCACAGGTCAGGAGCCCAGGATTCAGAAATAGGAATCTGTAAGAAATACCAGGCCATAGAGTCTGAATGGACAAGAATAAGGGAAGATTTGGAGTACAGCCAAGTCTATAAACAAGTTATAAGGATAATTACAGAAAGATCATGCTCTCGTAAAGAAGATGGTCATCGCAATGGAGGGCAGTGGTATTTTGTGATGGAAACCAGAGTGAAAACAGAAGAGAAAAATTCCCAGGCAGAGGAGGGGGCAGCTGGAAAAGGCTCAGATTTCATGCCCTTTTCAAATCCGCAGTTATCTGGAAAAGCAGTAGCAGGTGGCAATAAACACCTGTTTATCCTCTACTAACATGTTTGAGATTCATTTCCTGTAAGGAAAACATATGAATATTTTTAATACTACCTCACTTTAAGTAAGCCCTTGCAATTCCTAAAGATAATTTAACTTACCATATAGCTGAAAATCTCCTAACTTTCTTAGCAACTGAAATACATTTCTTCTGTTTCATGCAAGATTAAAGTAGACTTTGGCCTTCCTGCTAGGGAATATTACTAAACATGAAAATCAATGACTTTCATTGAATTTTAAGCACTGAAATCGAGAGTTGTTTCTAAAATCTGTTTGGAGGATTCATTGCTAGTCGAAACACTTTCTCCTTTTAAGATTTGCTTTATTATTATTTGCTTTATTATCTCTCAGTCTGCCATGCTAATACTGCCGTAATACATTTTCTGCTTGTTTGATGGGACAGTATCTTGCATCTATATAGCGGCAATGGAGTAATTGTGAAGGTGAATTGGATAACAACATAAAATTATGCTTAAACTGAAAGGTTGGGTAGAGTCACTCACTCTCCAGTACTCGGAGAGTACTAAGTACTCTCTTCTCCAGTACTAAGAACACGATAGAATATAATGGGGAGGTGGTTAGATCTCCAGTCTTCACTGCACCTACTAGTAAGCAGCTAGTAAGGGAAAAATAGTGGTCCTTGTAAAAATATATAGGGAACATAATTTTCAGAACTAGACTAACTCCCTTCAGCATTCTTCCACCTATCTTATATAAGCACAGCGTCTGAAAGCCTCTGAACCCCGTTCCACATTTCCTTGTACGAGGAAAACAAAGCCTCATTTTGGTTTCTGTTTCTTCTAGGAAACACTGCATTTTTCTAGTTTGTTCTCAGCTTCCCAGTAACTAAGCTGTTCTGCACCACGCTTTGCTACTTTCAAGCTTTATCTGCCATATTTTGTGCTCCCAAAACAAGTTACGGAAGAGAAATATTTCAGCAATTAGAATTTGAGAAGTTCAGACACTTTATGTAGAAGTAAATAGCAACACTAACCTCTTTCATTTTTTCTAGTTCATTCTGTAGTGCCTGTTTTGCAATTTCAACTTCTATAAGCTGCTGTCTTAATTTTTCATTTTCATCTTCTGTCACAGTGCGTTTTTCTTCCACGTTTTCTAATTCATGATGAAGTCTCACCGATACATCTTTTGCAACCTAAATAGAATGGTATTTCAAAAGAAAGAAAGAAGAAAAAGATTTACTGCTACCATACTAAGCATCTAAACAACTATTTACAGGCTAGTTTTGGATGTTTTTATGGAAGTAGTATGTAAGGAAACATTTAGACAACGACATCCACAGGTGGAATTCTAAACGATTCAAAATTCAAGCCAGTTCCCACAAAATATTGAATATTCTTCCTACAGACTTAACTGAAAACCACACTAAACCACTAAACACTTTCTCAGGTTTCTTTATACCAACAATGAAACGGTATCTTCATTATTCTTGGAGACAGTGAAGCATGTGTTTTCTCAAGCATTGCCAGCTTACACTTCTCAATGCACTAAGGCAGATGTCCTTCAAAAACTTAAGATGTGGAAGCATCAGGCAAAAGCAGGGTCTTCTCCAGGCCTACTGTACCTATGCATTGTATAGGGCTACTAACAATTGGGATACAATTTGAGTTGTGCCTGCTAGTCTCTCTCTCCCTCATGCATGGTTATATATTAAAATATGCCAATACCTGGCATTTACCACTATTTCAAAGAGTAAAATAGAAGCAAACAACATTTTTATTGATCTTTTATTTACCTAAATGATGTACAATCACTAACACTTTCGCTTTCTGTCTTGAAAAGCATTTTCACAGGAATAGTGTTAAAAGGCACATACCAAAACCTAACTCGCTTTCCTTGTGTAAGTTAATGTGAATTTTGCCATTTGAGCCACTTGCACTGTATTTTGTGAAACCACCGAAACTATAATCATGCATTAAAAATATTTAAATGTACACTAACCACTGTTATGATGGTGACTTTGACACACACGGCTTGAAAAGTCTAATTTGTTGCTTTTTTATAACATTGGAAAGTATAATTAATCCTTCTTAGCATTAGCTAGGGGAGCTCAGAGAGCTACCCGTTACAGCTTTCCATATGACGATCATTATGTTTTTAAGAACTCCCTTTGACATACTAAAACTCTAAAGAAAAAATAATTGTAAGCAAGCAATCCAGAAGAATCCGACCTATCAGAAAACAGCAGCAGCTAGTGACTCACCCTCCCCGACAAGAAACACTGTGTGTGTGAATTACTGACACAACACTGCAGTGTAGCACAAGATCATTCAATAACATCCCCCATTGCACACACACTCAAGACACATAATGCCCAAAAGAAACAGCGAGCGGAGGGGAATTTAATTATAACCACACTCCAGAGAGACTGCGGAATGAGGTGAGAATCATATCAAGTCACAGAGCTGTATCTTGATGTCTTTTCCCATACTTGGTATTAAACTGTGCATTTGGTTATCCACTCAAAGTAAACGGACAACAACTGGGGACGTATCTAACGACATCCTACCAGAATTTGTCTTTATAATTGCAGCCTATATATCAGTGAATATAAAGAAATAATAAAGTCATTGCTAGTAACGATTTTTGGCACAAAATTTCATCGAGTCACAATAAAGGTAAATCCTACAGAGCAAACTAGATCACATGGGAAAAAGGCTCACTTATGCAAGATGCATTTTAATACAGATGTATGCAAGATTGTATCTCTAAGGGATTATGTTCCCTATTACATTACCCTTGTAAAATGGGCAGTGTTATTTTGGATAGAAATTCTTCAGGAAAGGACTTGGCAATACTGCAAAGAACTGCACATGAGCTACAGTTATAGTTAACTAAAAACCAGGAATTCCATTTGGCAGAAATTTGGCATTTGACATTCATTCCTATTCCAAAGCAGAACAAAATCCTGATCTGTGGGAATGTTTTACAAAAATGCCATTCCTTTTCAAAATAGTCACTTGTCTGGTAATGAGGAAAGACAAGAGGAAAGACAAGCAACAAATCCTAATTAAAGTGACCCCTTTGTCCATTTCAACCTAAGGCTTGAATTAGTATCTCCTATATTGCAGGTGAGCGCCTAACCACAGAATCAATTTCTCTCCCAGGCCCTGTGAATATATCAGTCGTTAGTACAAAGTAGCACTGAGTCAACAAAGAAACCAACTCTATAGGCTGGAAGCATAATATTCACACGGGACATGCAGGGTCCTGTTCAAATTCTGCTTGCAAAGGTGAATTTCTCAACTCTTCACCTGAATAGCATTTTGAGTGTGCAAAATGTCACTTGTTTTGATCAGAAATTCTATCTTATCCCTAAAAAAGATGCATCAAAAAGGTATTTCCACCAATTTTGTTTCTGATCAGGAAGAAAATGTTTTGTCAAGGGCCATGCAAACAGCTCTACTTACAGAATGGTCATGGCCAAAACAGCAAATGTGATTTTTGAGTATGCACAGAAAAGGAATATCAAATAGAAATATAGAGAAGGACATTAGCATTCTAAATGGCACTAATGAGAAAATTACTGGAATAATGTGTCTTGACTTGGTGTCCAAACTTAGTAAGAATGATGACAGGCTAGAAGATTTTCAGAAAAGCTGACCAAAGTCTGAAAAAAAACTTTGGAATAACAGACTTGCAATTTCTTATACTTATATAGCATTTATAATCTATACACAAAAAGAAGCTAAAAAATGACCTTGTCCGTGATCCTATATTAAATTAGTATTTTCAGTTGTAATCAGTAGAATCCACGGAGTCACAGGCAACTAGTCCTGGGCAGAAGTGTGGCCAGGAAGCTCAAATTGGCCATACAGCAGTCTGCATTTCCACTGAGAAATGGCTGAGAGACTTGTCAACTGAAAAAAGGCTGAGAAGCGCTGACTCAGTGGGAAAAGCCTTAACAATATCTAGTGGATGGAAGTAGAAGTTAAACAACTTCCACCTAGCACAAGAAACATTTTTTCCCGTAACTGGAGCAATCTGGAACGGAGATACTTCACCAAGGGCAATCTTTAAACAAAGACTGAAACTCTTTCTTCAACATCGGGCTGTGGTTCGTTCAGAAGTTACAGACTGGATACCGAGATCACACACTGAAATTCTATGAGCTCTGTCTATGATTTTAGGTAGATGAGGAAAACCCTGGCTTCACTGAAGATAACTATAGCTTTTCCACTGACATCAATGGAGTCAGGATTTCATGTTGTGACTCTGCAAATACTCAATCTAACAGTCCACTGAAATCTTACCACAGAGCATTGTAATCCCCTAAGAATCAATGGGACTATCCAGTGAGGTTGGTTCAATGCTGTGGTGGTAGAGTACATTGTGTGTTCACCATAAAAGATCCAAAGCCCCTAGATCCTAACCCGTATTTGAATTACTTCCTGCACACTAGCTCAACAAAACATGAATGGGCTATGGCTGCAAATAACCTACTCACAAAATCTTACTACAGGGCTACTTACTGGGGTGCTTCTAAGTCTATCACTAAGGTAAGTTTAGGCCACTGTTACCCCACGTGCTGTAGTGGCTGTGTGTTTTACAACGGAGGGATGGAAATGCCTGAGTCACTGAAGACCACAGAGCATGGTTGTGTCTCCACCTCCCGGTGTCCTGCTCCTTGACACCTGCTCCCTCCTGTACCTTGAGGTCCTGCTCCATGCTGCGCAAAAGCTCTCCGTCGATCTCTCCGGTCTGTGCGTAGCGGAGCCTCTTGCGCTCGGCCTTGCGCAGCCGGTATTGAAGGATCCGGCAATTCTTGTTGGCTCGCTCCAGTTCGTGGCGCATTTCTTGAAGCTGACAAGCATCTTCCTCAAAGAAACTGTCCCTCATCTCATCCATCTCAGTCCTCAGTTCATCTATCTCATTCTGACACCGGGGCAAGAAGGGGACAGGGATGCAACAGGTGGGTCAAAACCACAAACATCAGTGACGCTAAGCACAGGGGAAGGTGGCCAAAATGGAGCTCGAAGACAGGCCCTCCTCCCCGTAAGGATACTGGGTAAACACAGCAGCGCTCGCTAAAAGCGCCGTAAGGAACTAGAAGAGTACCACCGCCCGCACACCCCACGGCAGGGCCATCTTAAACCTCCCTCACACCTCACGCCAGGGAAGGGGGAGGCAGGGAAGCGTCCCTTTGCGGAGAGCTGCCAGGACCGGCCCCTGTCTGCCTCCCACCTCAGCCCAGCCCGGCCCGACCCCGACCCCAGCCCC